ATCATTCATCATCATCACTCTGATCACCACTATCATTAATCATCTAACTGTCAGCAACAATGAATATATACAGAACTATCAGCAACAATAAATATATACAAAATTATGTACTCTCTCGTGGTCCAACCCTGCCCACAATTTGTTTCAATATCTATTACATACTACTTTTGAGAAGTTCTCATCGCTTCCCTTATCAAACCAGCTTCTTCCAAAGCGTATGAATAATGCTGAAACGAAACATTCATTAGAGTGGTTAGCAAACTTATTCTACCCTTACGATCCTATTCGAAGTAAGCAAACTCACAAAAAGGATATGGCACTGTCTTCGAAACTAAATAAAAGAGAAACGAGTGCGAAACTGTAAATGAACTTAATAAAAATGATTTTGATTTGGAGCAAAACAGGAGAAAACTGTTATTGATTTGGATGCGGCAACGACATTGTAGTGTTTGCTATCGGCAAAAGCGGAGTTACATTTGCGAGTGTATGTATTGTATGCATTATGCATTCTTTATATCCACAAATATTTATTTGTATGTGTATAGACACATGCGGATAAGTTAAGTGAATGTGAGTTTAGATTAACGGTTTGCTATAATTATTAACAATGAGCACTTCTATGAATCAGTACTAGTTCTGGTCATGAGGAACTTACACGTATTAAATGAATCGGACGGACCACTCGATATAAGTAATCAGAAGAATCCCACTGGATACTAACCTTTTAAATTCAAAGGAAGTACCAAAGATGAATCAAAGACCGAGACGACGATATTAACTTTTTATAAAATGAGAAAAAAACTAAAAATCCGCTTCTCTGAAGCTGAATTTCCTCATGTCAAGACAGATTTTTTGATGCTTTAGTAGCTTTTCCGTTGTCATAATTTCTTTAAATTTCAATAATTTTAAATAAAGTATTAATATTTTATGCTCCCGACTTCAACCGAAAATCAATTTATCTTGGAACCAAGTTAGAGTCAAAATTCATTTGCTTGAAAGTTTTCTAATGGGTTTTTTTTCTTTTTCAGTAGTGCCAAGCCATATTTGCTTTAAATGCTTCAGTAGCTTTCCCGTTCATTTAACTTCGCACCATTTCCAAACACGAATCTTCCCCTTTTCTTCCATCCATAGTAAGATAATCTGATACTGCGGTAAACAAAGCTCCCTCCCAGTATTCAGATGGGCAAACTACCAGTTGGTTTATTATCTAGTGAATGTAACTATTTACTTGGGCGCTCATAAAGTCAAGTGTCTCGCACAGTTTTGATGAAGTGTGTCTATCACACCAAAAGACCTAATGCACTAATACCAATAAATCATTTTAATGATTGCAAAGTCTATTTCGTGAGTTTTCGGTTAAAATTTATACTTTGAGGGGGGAAACTCATAACATTTAGCACAAAGCGGAAAAAGAAATGAATAACTTTACGGCACTAAGACAAATCGTTGTAAGGCACTGCTGATTTCAAAGTAAAAAACATAGAAATTAAGACAACGGTGTCCAATACAATTTTTTCACAATATTATTGTGAGGTGAGAACTATCACAAAACGTTACCCAACTTTAAAGATCAAATTCTCCAAAAAATTCTAGGTCTTAATCCATCACAGCTTGCGAAATATTCCGATTATATTTTTAAAAAATTTGCATTATTAATCCGCACATTTCCTATCTTTGATAAGGACAACAGAGGCAGCGAGTAAAAATCAATGGAAGGTGGTCTTCCTTCAAAGCATTTTTAATAGTGAGTAGTTCATTTCTGATCCTTTCGACATTATATTTTAATCACTATAATTACCACCCCATTGTATTTATTTCCTATTCTTTAAATTCTTCATTCTTTTCCTTCCAGCATTTCGATCAGCATCCCAACTGACAATAACTCGGACGGCAATACTCTCAAATGGTTGAGCAGCTTCGAATACTACTTTGGAATGCTACCTAGCATCAGTGCCCACTTCGGTTTGCTGCGACAGAACACAATATTTCGAACTTCCTGATAATCCACAAGCGACGATGCCTCAATAATCGCCACTTTTCTATTTACATCGGGGACATGTAAGATCTTAGAACGAGAGGTTCGAGTGATGAGAAATCGTTCATTTCACTGTACTTGATAAACGGTGGACTGCACCAACGATTTCTAAGTGAGCACTCACGCGTACGTAATCCATGGGCAAACTGTCACTGTGACGATAAGTTGCATATCCTGTAGTCAAACTGAAGATGACGTATGAGTAACGCTTAGTACACAGCAAAAAGAAGCATACGTTGAACTGCATTCATAGCAATGACAGCGTGAATAAGTTCCGCATAGCACAAGTTATTTAAGACTTCCTGGAGTGTATCCTGTTTCTTAAGAAAATGAAACAAAAAACCCAACAGATATATGAAGAAATCGAAATTGTATAAAATTCATTCTTTAAAGAAAAAATATAACCCACACGGAGGGAGTTCCTGGGAAAAATTAGTTTGACAAGACATAATTCATTGTGCATAAGAGACGTTTTCGAATATGAAAAAAACAAGTTCATTACTATAGAATTTTTTAAAAAGCTAATTTTAATTTAATATTCTTTGTCTGTTTACTACAAACCTTGCCTACTTATTTCTTCCAGAAGTTTGCGACATATTTCACGTTGACTTGTTCAAAAAAGAGCGACTAGTCTCGACCATCAATGACTACTTGGAAAAATGACTACTTTCTAATTATTTATGATGCTCAATACTAAATCACCCTTGACGTGTCATCACTCATTCACCTTCTTAAATGCAATCCCATATTTCATGGTGTGCAAAGAAGACGGACTAATCCTCAAATCAGATCTTCGAATAATTGATCCCGAAATAGTGAGGAAAAAAGAGCTGATATTTTATAGGGAAAATATGCTGAAAGGTTAAGTGTCCACCTGTAGTTACGTAACAATGCAGAACGGCTGGAGCAGATCCTAAGAAATTTGGTGATGGAATATTTACAAGGTTAATTGGGCACGTTCATTCAAGCACTCCGTTCCACGCCGCATCTAATCCAACTTAGCAAACTTATCCCATTTACTAAACTTGTTCTTCACTAGCTCAAATCCAGAATTCTCAGCTTCATATTCTCCATTCCCTTCCCCAGTGGATAACTTTACGATAGTGCAGTGTCTTCCTAAGTAATGCGATATATTTGTGTAAGACACAAGTTCTTAAGTCTCAACTATGTAATAACGCATAATTCGAACACCGTCGTATGTGTATCTATTTAATGAACCTAAAAGAAAACATCTGAAATGGTCACGATGTACGACTCATCATACAAAAAAACAGTGTTTAGTAGCGTAGCAGATATTGGTAGGAACTCTGCAATAATCTACAAGGTCTGTTTGTACTGTACCGTAATAGCATAATTAGCAAACCAAAATAGAAAATGGGAACGGACACAACCGTATATGCTCATCCGATCGTTCAATATCCTTTCCCCCCATCAGTTCACTGTGCATAACCATTCCATGTTTAAGATACTGAACGGTACAACGATGCAAGGACCGTACGGCCTCCAATTTTACTATTATTACCACCACTTTTTGTGAATATTTTTCCAGAGGAGCCTCAATCCTTCTGGAAAATGGATCTTCCAATCCGCACCCATTAACTGTGACAATTTCTCAACTACTTCCAAGCATCAGACATAAATACCAGTCAAATCCAAGCTTCATCAGGTAGTGGACTCAAAAGTCATGCAGCTTTTGAAACTACCACTGTGTAAGGAAATTTTGATTTTTCGTCGTGCTGTCTGTTTAAAGGCCGATTGAAAATCATTAGCTGTAGCATTGCCGGAAGCTTCTTTTTCCAGTAACTGCTTGTTCAATATTTTCCAGGATTTTTTCACCACAAATTTGATTCTTCTTTCAGTGTTCACCTATCCATGCTGATTTACTCGAACTATCTGTCCGAACTTCACTCTCATCTGAAAGGTGCTTTCAGCGAAAAAGTAGGCAGAGTTAAGCATTCGACAGAAAAGTATTAAAACAGTTTATTAAGGATGACGAATGACATCCTTCTAAAACGTAAATTGGAGGTCAGGCCTATCTGAAGAAAATCAAGTATCAGTGATATTAAATGATAAATAACGAAAATCGTGAAGAGAACACCACAAATTGTTGGTGCAGCTCAAGAAAAGATTACAGTCTTTCGCTCCAACATCACCAAATAAATATTATCCTTTCTAGGTAATTGTCACAACATTATCTTAATTGTAAAGTTAATGCTGTCGACTGCGCTTCATACTTCGCGTCGCTAAACAGGTGTGCTGTGATTCGGCTTTATATCGTGTTGACAGGATCAGTTTCAGCACTTATCTGTGATAGCGATAAACATGTATCAAAGCAGTGATGTAGTCCCCAAGTTCATCAACGAATCCTTATGACAGCACAAGACTGTTTACCGCGCTCTAAAAAGTAGCACGAACTTACATCGGTAACAGTGCAAGATGTCAAAAAGATGAAGATTTAGCCTTAGGATGTGCAACATTGAAAAAGGCGGTAATTGTGTTAATGTAGCAGGAGGAATAGAAGTACCGCGTGGTACGTTATCATCCGTAGCATTAAAGAAATCCATAGCGAAATGGAGCTCGAATAAGCGTGCGATGACTCTAAAGCTCATTTCCAACAAAGTGAGGGAGAGGACACCTTGCAGTGCGCCCATGTGGATACGGGAAGGATGGGTGGATAAGAATGAGGCACCTCTTCTCATCTCTCTCCCTTCTTTCTCATCCAAAGTTTGTTAATATGGGAGCAGAGAGAGAGAAAGAGAGCGAGAGAGAGAACTACTGCCCTTGTCTCAAACTAAGAAGGAGAAATGGACAATAGTGGACATTGCTTCTATCCATCAATCCCTTCCCAAAGAGAGAAGGAGATAGAAAGGGATGATAGCAAAGGAGGAGAATCAAACCTGAAGGGATGATAGACATAGATAACAAGCCAAGCAGACGTCGACATGTGCCCCTGTACCTTCCACTGCATGCTGCTTTACTTCTCTCTCCCTTATAGACAGAAAGCATAGCACTCTGAATTTTAAGAACAGACCAGGAATTATTTATTCTCAGTTATTTATTCCCACTGGCCTTCTACCTCTTCACCTTTCAGTGCCATTCAATGCCCTTTTTTTGTCAGAAATTAGCTTACCGTTCAATAGCCTCATACGACTCTTGACACGGAATTTATACTGTAATTCCAACATTTGTGATGAATGAAAAGGAGATATCAACACCTTATGTTCATTGGTCGTTGAAGTATACTTTACCTTAAACTAACAACAAGCAACTCCTCCTTGACCAACGACCCAAGAACTGCCCCAAGATATCGCTAAATTCCGAACACGTGGTATGTACCTCGATTCCGTTATTTAAAGATAAGTTGCCCGTGGAGCTACTTTGCCAATGCGGCATTTCTAGAATCACGATACTTCCGGCATTCCCATGAAACATGCAGGACAAAATGCCTAGATTAGATTTACTACCAGCTTATCGCAAGAATACGGAAGACAAAATGAATCCCGAAGGCTTCGCCGTCCGTGGCGAATTCCAAACCTCTGAGGTGCTTTGCCAGTTTCAAAAATAAGGCATGCATAGCAAACCAGAAGTGCAACAGCGATCAGACTTAAGTATCACTTTGCGTGATACAAATGTTCCACAGACACGTATGAAAAACAGACAAAATCTGCGGATGAAACTGAAACAAAGTTCACACTGCGCGGAGATGCATGATGTTGCCTGCATTTCTTTTGTTGACCAGAGAAAGTGGATGCAATGAATGAAAATAAACAGGACATACAACGAATGGGAAAGATGATTGCAATGTTGTGGATCGCCATCACCCAGAATGCAACCGAGCAGCATCATCAGACAATCACGCTGCGTGGAAGCCAAATGACGACTGTATGTGTAATAGGGAGCTGAACAATAAGTTAGGCACCGGTAAAGATAGAAGAAGATGTGGGGAGGAGGAGGAGGAGGAAGAGAAGGAAGAGAAAGAAGAGGAGTAGAAGAAGGAGGAGGGGAAGGAAGAGAAGAAGGAGATAACTAGCAGTGGATGAACTAAATTAGGATGCAGAGGATAGAAGAGAGAACGAGCGGTAAGGGTGATTAGAAGTAGTGATGATGTTGCCTGGCAACAGGCTAGATGCTTCCTAAAAATGGTTCGTCGCGTCTCCTCCCGAGATGAAAATAATAGGGAGAAGTGTGCGGAGAGGATGTTGGAAAAGTTTGAATTCCTGAATGGAAGAGCAGGAAGGGGTGCTGGGTCATGCATCTCACAAATATCTCCGCTCTATAGATCCATTTACTGCCCACTTTAAATTGTTCCAAAAAATGGATCTCGTGAATTTTGGTTGTTTACGAATACCTCGCGTACGTAACGGGGACAGAATTGCAAGAAAGGAAGTTACTGTAAGAAGGGAAGCTGAAGTACAATAAACAAACCAAAACAAAGAAAGACTGACGGGTGAAATATGAAAGACAGAAAGGCTAAGCAAACACATGAAAGCAGAGTTCCTCGATCGACACCTGGATTTGTGGGCTGTAATAAAGGACAAAATCAGCGAAATATTTCATCTTACGAATGACCCTTTAATATTTCACTGTTTCCTCCTGTCTAATGAAATCTTAAAATCAATACTATTAACGTTAATGAGACATCCGGAAAATTATCTCGCTTCATGAAACTTTGACTGAGGTAAACACTGCTATCAGAACTGAAGGACATTCAGCACTTTTCCCAGAACACTTACTGACCAGATCCCCATTTATGGAAGCCTTTTTTGTGACGGACTCTAATTAATTCTCAGAAAGCAAGTTACTGTAAGTGTACCCGTGCCGATGCTTCTTTGAATTTGTAAAACGAATTGGACACAATTCGTTCCTCTCTAAATTAAATGATCGCTTTTTTGTTCAATAGATGCATTACCAAGATTATTCGCTGTTCAGCACTTACCATGCCATGCCATGTAGAATTCCGCTTATTAAAAGTAAAAAAAAAGTAAACTGTTCCAGTATGTAGAATATTGATCCGATGGGTTTTTTTGGTGTCACACTAAAAAATTTTGCATATCCAAACGAGTTTTGTATTTAAGACGAAATTGATCGAATGAACTAACTGGAAGCAATGCATAATTATGTCTGCTTGCGTCTACAAAAGAGGAAAACGAAAGCAACGAGTTTTAGGACAATTGCTAACATAGCTTAAATCACATCTCATTTTCGAACAATGTATCATTTTAACGAATTTTGGATTTTGGAGTGTTTAAAACCTGAAAATTATTATAATAACT